AAAAAAAGTTAGTCTTACTGTTCACTGTCAGTCTCTGTTTCAGTGTGTTTTTTGAGGGCAGAATAAATATTCATACACTTGTAGACAGATGGTAGAATATAAATCATTAACTTTCCGGGATTCTACAGTACATTCAGCTATATTAGTTAAACTTTAAATAAGTCACTTCCCTAACTTCCAGCCACTTCTGCCCCAGGGGTTTAGGTCAGTCTGAGGGTGGAGGAAGTGCTGCTGCATGAGTAGGTCTCTGTCTAATGCAAACTGTCACAGCTGTCCACTCGGAGAGCTCAGAGAGTAGCACAATGTGCTGGTTAGTCTTAGTAAGTCTTTACTTGGGGTTGCAACAACGGGGCCTGAGGCCATGTTCTGATAAATATCAGAGTTATGTAACATGCACGCACGCACACACACACACACACACACACACCATGTTGCTGATATCCGCTCAGGCTGCAGATTCGTAGGTGACTTCTTCTTACATGTGCAGTTGCTATATTGGTTCACTCGGTTTTTAGCTTGACTTCCATAAATATGACACGCTTTTTGTTATTCTGCGCATATCCAATTATTCAGCGTCCTGTAACTGCACTGGCTGGTCAGTGTGGCAAAACAAATTCAGTACGTTTATGTTCTTCAGTGCCTGCTTTAACAACACTTGGAGGACTGCCTTGGCATGCATTCAGCAGAGACTCCCTCCGTAGATGGGCCTAGCTGCTGCTTCAAACCAGTCGGGTGTCATTCCTGCATCAGGCACAGCTCAGAGCGCCTCGGGCCAAACGGCCTGCTAATTTTTTTTATTTTAGATGAGATGAGAAGGTTTACTTCAAATTCAAATTCTTTTGTCAGCATTTAGGCGCTGAGCACTTTCTACAGCTTTGACATAACCGCCAGTGGGACTGTGATAATTCTGAGTCAGGGTTGTTTGAAAAAGATAACCGTTATCCATGAGTCCAAATCTAGGCTAAACATGTCGCTCCCGTTACAGATTAAGAACTGCGTTTCTGGAAAAAGTCGCGATAGATGATGAGCTTTGTTGTGGCAGATTTGATGATCCTGATCGTAAATGGTTAATGATTTTTCTTCGTTTCTAGCTGAGGGTGGGGCCCTAGAAGCAACTCAGCTGATGCAATGCTGCCATAGGAGTGATTGTTGGCATGAAAAATATTATTACTGTATAAAGTGTTCACATTAAATGTAGCCCTTATCCAGCCGGCCTACAATCTCCAACATGCTTATATACACCAAACCAAAGGGTGTAGAAGTAACGATAATAATAATGACAACCTTTCTTTCTTTTTTTCACTTCACATTTTGTAACTTCTGGCCTGAACTCTCATAAAAGCAGAGCTGGGGTTTTCTTTGTCTCTCTGAGGGTTGGCTCGGGAAGGCTTAACAGAATAGTTCTCTGACAACCTCTACCGGTTTTTCCTGCAGATGCGCCCCAGGCTTCACGGGGACGAGCACACAAACTAAAACATGCAGTGAATTAGATTAAAGATGACGGACACTTTTTTTTTCCTTTGCAGACTCACATCAACGAGTCATGAGAGGAAACGATGTTTATTCTCTCTCTCCCGAGATGATTTACTCTTTAATAACGTCTCTAATCTGGATTGACAGAAATGTAAGAAGGCGGTGACTCTCGCTCTCTCTCATGAGTGGGCGTGTCTTCGTGTCTGAACACGGCGTGCTCCAGTAGATAGACAGCTGCACTCACCTTTCTACCTGCCAGGTGAGACACGGAAAAGACAGTCAAGTCCTCGCAGTAAACCCGCTTCTTCACCATTCTGAGAGGAGCTGAACGCGAGTGGTCCGCTGACCCTGCACGCCGGACAGGTGAGCTCATTTACCTGTAGACACACACCGTGCTGCTGTTTTGTTTGCGCAGTTATGCTAACCATTTAACCAACTGCCTTGCTGATCAGGATGTATGTAATCGTGTTTTCCCCCTCCCCAGTTTCCAGGTTAAAAAAAACCCCAGACAATCAAAAACACCTGTTGCGTCCGGCTGACCTGCGATTATCAGCGCGACCCGCAGTGCTCAATATCATTAACCGGGTACCAACACCTTGGTAGGCCCGCACTTGTGAGCTCCGGCAGGTACAGGAAGAGCACCAAACGCCTGCCTCTGTCCGCAGAGATTCCCGCCTGCAGAACTTGTGTTATCCGCACAGCTGGAAACTTTGCCTGGGAATTTCTGTGCTCAAATTTCAGTCATTGTTTCTGGTCGTGTGTGTAACTTCCCATCCCGGCCTTTAGCGCAGGGCTGCCTGCCACATGGTTTGGAGGGATTTCTGTAAATCATGTTTTAAATCTGGGCTGCATAATTGAACTATTCCAGCGTCACTGACTGTTACACGAGCAGAGTCAACATCAGTGTCACCACTGTATCATTTGATTTAGCAGCACTACAACCCAACAGCTGCATGCTGGTGGGCCTGACCTCCTCATGCATCTGCTGTCCCAGCAGAGTGATCTCCAGAGGATTGTAGCGTTTCCTTTAAGACTGCCCAAACTGAAGCCGATCACAGGTTCACAGCAGCAGCCGCTTTTCTGGCTGTTCAGGTGTAGCTTCCAGTAGTTCAGTTGTGACATATCCCATGGAGGGCATGGCAGTGGTGTTACCACTTGCAGACAAACCTTCAGTATTTCAGGTATGTTGGTGAACCAGCTCTGTTCTCAGAGGAAGGGTGTGACTGTACTTTAGAGTGGCAGAATTTAATTAAAACTCTGACAATAAAAGGCTATCTGCTGCTGGCACTAAACACTTCACACAAGGATGTCGCACACGAGTACATGACTTTAACATGATGAAAGGAAAAATGATTGCTTGTTTCTCTATGCAGCAATACAAATAAAGCAGCACTTCCTGCTATACTGTGTCTTCCTTTCATTTAGCATGGCTGAAATCACCTAAGTGACACTTAAAACTTGAGTGATACGAACAGTCTCAGTTCAAACTGACTTTAAGTAGTAGGTGTAGTTTCTTGAAGTCTAAGGTTTTCAAGAGGACTCAAATCCAGAGGCTTTGAGCAGTTTCTGCCTTTGGAAACTCAAAACCTGTACTACAGGTAACTCTGTGATTACATGTGCCAGGGTCAGAGGTCACTGAAGGCTTCAAACGTTCTGCATTACGAGTTCTCCCACATCAGGCGGGCCCCAGAGGGGGTGACTGCAGGTCATCATGAGCAGAGGAGTGAAACTTAGGTCACTGAATATCTTGACCAATAAACTAATGTGACCTTTAACACGAACCCCCCCCCCCCTGTATTCTTATCAACTAATGCTGTGGGATGAAGCAGGCATGTCAGGTGAGATGTGCTGAGTGGCCTACAGCTTCACAAACACGTTGTATTCATGGTGTAAATGCTGATGCAATTTATTACATTTTGAGATGCTACAAGTAAAAGCAACTTAAATTCATTTTACTTTAAAAGTCCAACATGTTGATTCATGATTGGTAGATTGCATAAAGCCCTAAATCAAAGAAAACAGACAACACATGAAAGTAAAGTCATATCTGAAGCACAACATACACAAATACACATCACTGTGATCTGTACCCTCACCAACTGGAAGCACGTCCACTAGGTGGCGCTCTCATCAAAGAATAAATTAGGGAGACCCACCACAGTGGGTGCGCTAGCTCCGCTACAACCACAACTTTTAATCCCTCCAATTTGTAAAGTCCCTGAAAAACAACACGTATATGGCACATCTCTCATTCTGTCAACAGCAAGTAGCACACACTGTAGTTCAATGACAGTTGCATGTTTGTTCAATGCACTACGAGAGAAAAGTTTCTGCTTACAGCACAGGGGCTTGTTCTCCACGCAGATTTATAATTTCAGCAACATTTATTACAAAGCAAAAACTCTACGCAGCACCAAATGCTCAATGAGTGAGTCATTGTGTGGCAATCACAAACATTTCAGCAATGTGCTCTTCATTATCCGTTTTTTTCCTCTCATAGCCAAAAATATCAGGACCTGAAGAAATATAAAACAAAACACTAGAATATCTCCTTTCTGCAAGCAGGAAGTATGAGACCGGACAGTCCTGGATGTGACAGCGGGGAAGCTTGGCCAATGAAAACTGAGGAAACAATGTGAGGAAAAAAGAAATTTACAAAAATAAATATAAAGCTCCCTTTCTCAATAAAGACAACGAGCAGGATACAAGTTTCATGGAGGGAGAACCGAACAGTTTCCACATGATTTGGTCGAATGTAAAAAACAAGAACGCAGATTTAAACACAGCATCTGAGCATGAACTCAGGTTTGACACAGGCAACACATGCATTTCATTTGGTACTGGTTCTTTTATGGGCCAGCTGGAAATGACAAGCTCATATGAAATATTGGCAGAAGACTGAAATACTGTACAGCAGTATATGTGAGCACATATTTAGTTTCTACAGAGAGATTATTATTGGCTGTTTGCAGCTTTAGCCCTTTCTGATAATAAAGAGGGAGCCAGTTAATATTGATACAGAGCTGAGATGCATGTACACATCTGTACACTCTCAGTAAGCATGCACATAGAAACAGTGAGTCATATACAGTCATACCACTACAGTTTAAGAAAGACAGGATTAAGTGGAAAAAAAAAAAAAAAAGCTCCCCTCACAAGCAAATAAAACGCAAACACATCGAGCTGATCGATGTCCACGGATCGCCGCTAAGCTCCACCTCTTCTGCGCTGGAACAAGGTGGGAAACATATGAAAGCCAGAGCTACCAGCACCGAAATCAAGGCTTATTTCTTTGTTTTATAATTACAGCAAATAAAACAAAATATAATGCATCCCCTTCAGAGTCAAAGGCTGTGTGGCACATGGGCAGCCCTCACAGGGCCTCGCTGCACAGCACGGCGAGAACAGAGGCGCAGCACGCTGTAACAAAGAAGCTGCCACGTTGGTATCTAAGACACTGTAACAGCCACAGTGGACCAGACAGGCATGTCCCATGAAGAGTCTCGAGGAACTCTGTTACATCCAGCAGAGGCTTTAAGCCCTTTGATGGCACACAATGACCACAGCAGGGGGGCAGTTCCTTCATTTACACAGCAAAGAATCATGGGAGATTTCTTTTGGCTAGGCTTAATGTCACATCAGTTCAAAGAAATATGCAATCACATTTTACAGATCATTAAAAAAAAGATGAGTGTATTTCTAGCACTCACACATCCACTTCAACTTTGGAGGATATTAAAAAAAAAAATCCCACTGCCAACTCATGACTGTCCAAAGGATTCTGGCCAACAGAGTGTGAATGGGTGAAAATAAAAGATAAACACACACACACAGGAGGACTGACAGCATGTGTGCGCACGGTCGAGAGCCTGAGTCACCGCTTGTGATAGGCACCTGAAAAAGATGGAAGAGACAGAAAATGAGCTCCACATACTGCAGTGTAGCGCTGCCACAAACGATTGGTAGTCGACGTAATCGTGACTAGTTGACTAATCGTGGCCCTGCTGCAGTGCAATTTATGCTGCAGTGTTTATGAACTCAAGTTTTCCAAGGTTGAGTTCAGGAGTTTATTAATATGAGTGACGAGAAACCAGCTCTGGTCGAACTAAACGCCTTCAGCACTCTCACGTGTTCATGTAGGCAGTGCTAAGAAAATAAAGGGAGATGTTCCTATTTAGACATTTGGCCAAAACAAACCACTTGAAAGAAATGAAGATGTTCATTTTAACATTGATGATGTCAAAGATGAGGCCCGGGGACCAGAAGACTGGACATCTGGACAGCAATGAAAAATGTAAACTTTAGACTTAACTGGTTTTTTTCCTACTGATAAATGACCAAAGTAATCAAGTAAACTTTTTGTTTGTTCATTCCCAACTTCAAGCTTATTTGGATGCAAACAACATCGGGGAAAATACAGTCGGGTCTAAGCTTTAGCACGGAAACTGCATTACTGCTAGTCTTTAATGATCTTCTCTCAATCGCTGACTCGGGGCGCCTGTGGTCTTAGCTTTGCTCGATTTGTCCTCTCCTTTTGATTTGGTGGACCATAAAGTCCTTTTAATGAGGCTTAAGGTGGGCATCACGGGCAGTGCCCTTAGCTGGTTTAAATGGGGTGGCTGTAGCTCAGGTGGCAGAGCAGGTCAGCCACTAATCAGAAGGTCGGTGGTTCGATCCCAGACTGCCTCCTGGCTGCATGTCAAATATCCTTGGGCAAGATACTAACCCCATGTTTGCCAACTGGTGGTGGTCAGAGGGCCCGGTGGCGCCAGTGTCCGGCAGCCTCGCCTCTGTCAGTGCGCCCCAGGGCAGCTGTGGCTACAATGTAGCTGCCATCACCAGTGTGTGAATGACTGAATGTAGTGTAAAGCGCTTTGGGGTCCTATGGACTAGAAAAGCGCTATACAAATGCAGGCCATTTAAATCCTATCAGAAAGGTCCTTTTCTGTCACCATGGGTACCTGCTCCTCCTCCATTGCCCCGCTCACCTCTGGTGTCCCCCTGGGGTCTGCGCTGGGTCCTATGCTGTTCTCTTTATACTTGTTACCCTTGGGCCGAATCCTTGAAAAATACAATATTTTTTCCACTTCTATGCGGATGACATTCAAATCCATTTTGAACTGGCTGAGGATGTCACGTCATCGTTGCAACACTTCTTCAATTGTATGAATGAAGTTAAAAACTGGCTGCTGAGCAATTCCCTCATTCTCAATGATAAGAAAATGGAAATCATAATCGTCGATAGTCAGGCTGAACTCAATGATGTATTTGGGCCCTTTGCTGACTCTCTTTCTGATACCTGGTGTTGTCTTGGACAGTTCCTCTAAGCTGCACAAACACGTGTCCTCGGTAGTTGAATCCAGTTTCTATCAATCACGTCTAATCTCCAAGGCCAAGCCCTACATACCACGTAAGCACCTTGAAAAATGTATCCATGCCTTTGTTACATCCAGATTAGTTTACTGTAATTCCATTTATGCTGGTCTCCATTCTGCCCTCGTTCAAAATGGGACTGGTAGGTTTGAGTCTATTACTCCGGTTCTTTCTGACCTGCACTGGCTTCCCATTAAAATCACATTGATTTTAAAATCTTATTGTTCACGTTTAAAATCATAAATAATACCACACCCAGCTATCTTACTGATCTCCTCAGCTTTTACACCCCCGGGGGAGCGCTTAGATCAGCAGGCCAAATGCTCCTGGTGTGACCTACATCTCGGCTCAACACCAGAGGTGACCGAGCATTCGCCTCTCTTGCACCCTACCTCTGGAATAATCTTCCTCAACCTATATCTGCGTGTTTGTAATGGCACTGCGTTTTATCGTTTTGCTCTGATTAAAGCTTATCGTGTTTAACCTTCAGCCTTTGGCTTGTGCCTACTGTATATTGCATAGTTATGTCTCCCACCTGTCAGTATATTTGTATCTGTAACTGCACTTAATTGATTCTGTGAAGCACTTTGGCACACCCCTGGTTTTGAAATGTGCTATATAAATAAAACAAATAAAAAAACTTCTTAGTTAAATACTGTAGTATTACTAGTATATTTAGTTAATTAAATTTCTGAGCCAGTGTTGAGTCTGACAGCCTGATGTATTTCTATCTGCAGATTCAAAGTTAACTCTTCCTTTGCAGAACACACGCAGCCAGGAACGCTGGGAGAGACACGGCTATTAGCATCAAGCAGACTAAAGTGCAAAAACACCACAGTGTTGAAAAAGGGCAGCAGCTGCCTTGTTTAGGTTTTCATTTACCTCTGTAAGTTGGATCAGGTCTGGCTGGAGCGCGAGGGGCAGCAGGGTGATCTGGGTAGACGTAGCCAGGACTGACATTCTCATAGTCATGTGTGCGCGGCTGTGGAGGCCTGAAACACGTGCAAAACATTAATACATTTCTGCTTCTTTACAGACTGGACATTTCTGGTGAGAGCCGTGTACCTCGGAGGCTTGTAGTTCTTCTGCCTTTGGTACTCGTACTCCTCTCGTGTCCTGGGCCGGACAACATCCTCGGAGTTTGGCTGGAAACCAACAGAAATTATGGTTCTCGTCCCACAGAGGAAATACAGTCTTATATGGAAAAAGCACGCATGTTAAAAATATGCACGGTCATGGAAAATTACCCTGTAGTCTCCCTCTTGCCGCCTCCTCTCCACTGCCATCCTTTCCATGGCCAGCCTCTCCCGCTCCTTCTCTTTCTCCCATTCGCGATTCTTCCTGTACTCCTTTTTCTCCTGCTCCATCAGCAGTCGGGCGATTTCCTGGCAAAGCGAGGCGACTAGGTCATTTACCCCAGAATACGTCCTACATGTCACATGACATAACTCTACACAAGCGTCCCAGATGTCATCAGAGAACACCTGGTTCACACGAAGCAGCCAAAGCGACACCTCCAGTGCTGCAGAGCATCTTTGCACGTAACATTTATCCATGTTGGAGGAGGAGTTTCCACACACTCACCTCGTCTTGTGCCACTTGGGCTGCACGCACGTGCATCTGGCTCGCCTGAAACCAGAGAAAAGGTTACGTTCTCACACAGATGTTACGTGATGTTGGAAACACACAAGAAAAACACTTTCAGTTTGGTTTTTGACATCAAGGCTTCAAGTTCTTTACAGCTTTGATAACAGAGTCAAATGCTTTACTGTCATTGGCTGCTCTGGAGCCAATCACGTTTCATCATGTCAAATCAAATAATGCACAACAAAAATACATTTATGGGCAGAGTTATTCAAACCTTTTCATTTCTTTACAAAACTGATTTCTAAACAAAGAAGAAGAAACTCAACCACACACAGACCGACAGACCTTTAACTTTGCTCTTTGCGCACATTGTTTGCTAACTATAAGCTAATGTGATTGTTCCCTGTACGTCACGGTGTGCGTGCACATATGGACAACACGTACTTCTCTTCTGGTTTCCTTCCTGACCTTAATTTCCTCCTCTTGCAGTTTCCTGGCCACCTCCAGGTCCTTCAGCTCTTGCTCGCGCAGATCGAGCTTGGTCAAACCCTTGGTGGCCTCATTCAGTCCGTACTCAGTCTCTGGCATTACTGACCCGCCGCCACGGTGCGCAATACGACCTGCAAAAGGCAAATCATGACTAACAGAGCAGGGCTGTGACGATTATTTATTAGGATTCGCTTCAGCAAAAGGAAATCTCATCTTAAAGGTGCAATTTACACAATTACAGAATAAAGTAAAGTTTGTATCATTTTTCTTGATAAATTAAAATGATTTATGGATCAAAATCATTTGTCTGTTGAATGATCAATAATTTGATGCCACATTCACACAAAAATACATTCAGCAGCAGTTGGATCAAAGCCAATGCACCTTTAAAGGGCTGCAGTGCATCTCCACTGGTGTTGCTCGCTGTGTTTGGGTCATTTAAACCTGTGGCAGATCTCAGATCAGTTAAAACCATGAAATGGTAAAGTTTAGCTTGTTCAATTGACAAGAACACACAACCAGCTCTGAAGCCCTTTATCAAGGAAACATTTGAGCTTACAAAGCTCATCAAGCCATAAGAAAGCACACAGCACACGCCTCACTCCAAGCACAGAGACAAGAAAACTCCACACAAGGCGAAATAAATCATTGGCCTCAAACCTGAAATCACAACATCGCTGATCATGAAAACAGTGAATCTAACGTGTGTGTTAGCGATCGCTGTTAGACTGACCCACCACCTCAGACTGCCACAGAAAGGTTTAGCACACCACACAGCCCCCCCGCAGAGCCCAGAGGGAGCTCGGGGTGATACCTGTCTCTCCGCTGGGTTGACTATGACTGCGTTCCCTGCCACGACCCTCCCCCTGCTGGAGGTCCCAGAACTCCCTGCTGTCTCCTCTGCCTTCATCGCCCCTATGATCTCCAAACAGCTCATTGGGGCTGGACTGGACACGGTGCCGTCCCCTGGTCCTCTCAAAATCCTCCTCTTCCCCCTCCCAGGAAGCCCTCCCTTCCCTCAGCCGGTCCCGGCTGTGTGCTGGCTCCACAAAGGCCTCTTCGAGTCCTCTCTCCCTGCTCCGGGTTCTCGCTCTTTGTCTTCCTTTATCTCGATGTCCGTGTCCCTCTAGCTCTCTGTCCAAACTTCGTCCTCTGTCTCTGGATCTTTCTCCGTCCCGCCCCTCTGCTCTTCCCCACCTGAGGTCCTGGTCTCTGTCCCTCCTCCGATCTCTGTCCCTCCTCTGGTCTCTTGCAGTATACCTCTCATATTCCGGTTCTCTGCCTCCATCTCGGTCGTACTGCCTGTTCTGCTCTCTGACCCACGTTTTGTCCCTCTCTTTAGGAATTTGTACTGGAGGTGGTCTAGCTGGCCTCTCTTTCCTCCTCACCACTCTCTCTGTGTCCTCGTACCCTAAATCCCTGGCTCTGCCAGTCTGTGAGGGCTCGTGCTCTGGATACCTGTCCCCGTGCTTGCCTCTGTTGTGCATCAGGTGCTCAGGAAAAGGATCTGCGTGCCTGCTACGGCCTCCTTCTCCCAGCAGATAGCCCTCTGGGTATCTGGAGCGACCACGGGGTGCTGCAGCATCCAGTTTTGGGTGTCTGCTCCTTTTAGGTTCTGTTGAACTATAATCTGGAGAGTAATCTCGACGTGAGCTCACCGGAGCATCGTATCGCCCGGGGGACGTCGGTGTGTGATGTCTGGGTTTGTCCAAGTCTAGAGGTCTTCTTGCAGCTGAGCAAAGCAGAGTGAGAAGGCACCATGATGATGATGGTGGTGGTTGATGAAAACAGGGAAAGTTAACAACAACAGACAGGTGTAATATAAGTCAAGACAGTTAGTGAGCACCGGGTTAGATACAGCACCTGTGAGGAGAGCAGTGGTTAGAAGAAAGAGGAAATGCAGAAGATGACATTAAATGACCCAAAACGTCCCGGCAGTTGTTACGGTTGGAAAATTAAAATGTTGCAAAGACAGCAACAGCGAGTGTTAGCCGCTATCAGACAGTCTGACTGGATATAAAGGCACTCAGGACTCATGATGGGACATCAACCAGTATATGATGTTTTTAAATGGTTACAAATGGTCTGCTCCTCCATTGCACTCCACATGCCACTGCTTTTGTAAATACAGATGCTGCAGACACACCAACAGAGCAAACTGATGATCTGAGCACTTCAGCTTTAAGGAAACCTGTTTGTTGGGAGTCGACATGTGGCTGAGCAATGTTTGAATGAATACAAATGAAAGGAAACGCACAGCGAGGAACAAAGCTCAGGCCAGTCCTCGCCGCGCTGCCAGTCAGTGCAATGGCATTCCAGTTATCCAACCAGCAGCAGGGAGGTACGAGCAGAGCCTGACACCTGCTCAGACGCCCACGGGCATTCGCTGTTTGCTCACCTCGTCTCACTTTAAAAAATAAAATATTCTCCTATTTTTAACCTTTTATTCTACCCTGACAGCTGTTCAGTGACGAGAAGCAACATGTTTTTGTACGTCAGAGAGAGAGACTGTGACATCATCACAGTCACAGGTGCAAACGCCCAGTGGTGACGTTACAGGTGAGCAGTTACATAAGTTCTCACAGTCTGCAGTCGATACAGAGAACAAGCAGGTGGACTGACAGCGAGGCTCGCCCCGTCCCCGTCTGCGCCGACGAAGGGCGGCTCTGCACCGACAAACACCAACACGGAAACTATTCAAATCAGCTTCTGTGACAGTTTAAATGAACAAACGAGCACAAGATAAAAATCACTCACGAGCACTTTAAGTAGAAACTGTGTGTGTGTTGAATTTTTGCAGAGCACCAAATTGCTAGAAAACCAGACTGATTTTTCTTCTGTTGACTAAAAGGAAAAAAAGAGATTTTCCTTTGTGCTTCCTGTGTGGGAGCGACACCACTGTAGAGGTTTAGTGTTCTGAGTCAATCTCAGAAACAAAACACCCAAAAGGGTTGAAATGGCAAAGCTGGTAGTCAGCATGTCACATTAGATTTAGCAGCTGCAGAGAGAAAAGCTGAGCTTTTATTAGGAACAGGAAATTTACTTCCTCCCACACTCACAGTCACAACTGTGGTTCAAGACCTGCGACCGCACTCATGCCTCAACAAGACGCAATAAGGAACGGCCGCAGCGCTTCAGGCACAGAAGCAATCGTGATGACATTTTGGATTAGGACTTGCAGCAAAGCTTCAATTTTTCAACATGAAACATAAAATTGTGACACTGAGCTGCTAACACGTTTTAGAAGCCCCAGAAAACACTAAAAACATGTTGTTTTTTAAATACATCAGGAGTAAATCTAAAATTGCTCCTAATTCACCAAATGCCAACTCTGGTACAAAAGGCTCAATCAGCGCTCTGCACTGGGAGTAAAAGGACGAGTTATTTCTCTGCAGGAACACGCAAGCCTTCCTTCAGGGTTAATTATGTGCTTATAAATGCATTCCACAATCTTCAAGTCAGCAACAATCGCCATGAGTGTTAGAGACACGCCCACCGCACTCAAAGCTGGAGACAAAACCAAACCCAGCACAGAAACAGAGACCGATCACCTCCCGTGGCCTTACTCATGACTTCATATTCTTCTGTGAAAAGCTGTGAGAATTATTCTTTAATCCTTGAAAGAGTAGTTGTCAAACAGCTAACAGATCATCTGCAGAGGTTTATTTGAAGAGTTTCAGTCAGGTTTCAGAGCTCAGCACAGAAACAGCTTTAGTGAAGGTTACAAATGATCTTCTTATGGCCTCTGACAGTGGACTCATCTCTGTGCTTGTCCTGCTAGACCTCAGTGCAGCTTCGATACTGTCGACCATAATATCCTATTAGAGCGATTAGAACATGCGTAGGTATTACAGGTACTGCGCTGCAGTGGTTTGTATCATATCTATCTAATAGACTCCAGTTTGTGCATGTAAATGGAGAGTCCTCTTCACACACTGAGGTTAATTATGGAGTTCCACAGGGTTCAGTGCTAGGACCAATTCTGTTTACATTATACATGCTTCCCTTAGGCAGCATCATTAGAAGACATAGCATACATTTACACTGCTATGCAGATGACACCCAGCTCTATCTGTCCATGAAGCCAGATAACACACACCAATGAGTTAAACTGCAGGAATGTCTTAAAGACATAAAGACCTGGATGGCCGCTAACTTTCTGCTTCTTAATTCAGATCAAACTGAGGTTATTGTACTCGGCCCTGAAAATCTTAGAAATATGGTATCTAACCAGATTCTTACTCTGGATGGCATTACCTTGGCCTCCAGTAACACTGTGAGGAACCTTGGAGTCATTTTTGACCAGGACATGTCCTTCAACGCACATATTAAACAAATATGTAAGACTGCTTTCTTCCATTTGTGCAACATCTCTAAAGTTAGAAATATCCTGTCTCAGAGTGACGCTGAAAAACTAGTTCATGCATTTATTACTTCCAGGCTGGACGACTGTAATTCATTATTATCAGGAAGTCCTAAAAACTCCCTGAAAAGCCTTCAGCTGATCCAAAATGCTGCAGCAAGAGTCCTGACAGGGACTAGAAAGAGAGAGCAGATTTCTCCTGTTTTGGCTTCCTGTTAAATCCAGAATTCAAAATCCTGCTCCTCACATACAAGGTCTTAAATAATCAGGCCCCATCTTATCTTAATGACCTTGTAGTACCATATCACCCTATTAGAGCACTTCGCTCTCGCTCTGCAGGCCTACTTGTTGTTCCTAGAGTATTTAAAAGTAGAATGGGAGGGCAGAGCCTTCAGTTTTCAGGCCCCTCTTCTGTGGAACCAGCTTCCAGTTTGGATTCAGGAGACAGACACTATCTCTACTTTCAAGATTAGGCTTACAAACTTTCCTTTTTGCTAAAGCATATAGTTAGGGCTGGACCAGGTGACCCTGAATCCTCCCTTAGTTATGCTGCAATAGACGTAGGCTGCCGGGGATTCCCTCTATGCATTGAATCATATCTGTTATTAACCTCTGTCTCTCTTCCACAGCATGTCTTTATCCTGTCTTCCTTCTCTCACCCCAACCGATCGACAGCAGATGGCCCCGCCCCTCCCTGAGCCTGGTTCTGCCGGAGGTTTCTTCCTGTTCAAAGGGAGTTTTTCCTTCCCACTGTCGCCAAAGGGCCGCTCATACAACGGTCAGCCGTTTTAAGATAGAAAACTAGCTTTGCTCCAACAGCCATAAGTCAACATAAATGAGGCATTTACATAAGTCAGCGGTGCTCTCCTCACCTCCATGATCTTCATCAAAGCGCGTTTCCAGCTGCTTATGTCTCCTCCTGTCCTCTTTCATCTCCTTCTCCTGCAGCTTACGAGCGATGGCCTACAACAAAACAACGCAACAGTAAGCACGTCGTCCCGCATCAATATAGAAATGTCCCACTTAGACAAAGGTCATATTTCTTTGGGTGCACGTACAGTAGCTCGCTTCTCAGGCCAATTAGCACATCCTTCGTTCACCTTATGGAGCACGTAGGAGGCGATCTGACCCAAGTTAGCTCACTCTGACTAATCTAACACATAAACAGTGTTGCTGATTGGGAAACAGAATCTAGGATTTCTCAGCTTTCCCATTTATCAACAATGTCATTGTAATGTTTATATATAAAAAAAGGTCCCAATTACTTAAAAAAAAAAATAAAAAAAAAATAAAAGTGGAAACAAAGGCGCAATGATTGGAAAAGAATGACCCGCCCAAAACAGGAAGACTAGAAACAACTGAGGGGTAGAAACAAGCAGCACTGCCTCAGGTCCACTTCCTACCGCATCTTTCTCTTCTTGCTGTCGCTGTCGCTCTGCCTGTCGGACCAGTTCCTCCTGAATCTCCTGGGCGATCTCGTTATCTTGCCGCTCGCTGGGGTTCACATGTGTTGTAAGCATGTACGAAGAGAAGAAGCGGGAAAATGTTACAGCAGGGATGTAATGGAAGGACATTTTTAAATTCACAGCTTTGCTTAAAGATGCATATTTACACTGACACATTTGTTAAATAAGCCTTATTACACTTTTCAAGTCTCAATTATTCTGACGACAAACTCACGCAGTGGTGCTGAAACCGGCTCTGGTACTACACACGTTCGATTGTTGTGTATATAAAGGTTTAAAAGCCTCACTGACTTCAACACTGTGAAAATGATGCACTTTTTTGTCACTTACAGTTTTCAGTAATTCTGTTTCATAAGGGGAGTCAACACCCGAACCCTCAGCTTTGAAGTCATCCAGCATGTTGTGAATGATGGTCAGTGCGCCTCAGGCAGGAGCAGGAGGATCTTAGCTTACTGCAGTGTTGATCTCACTAGCGCCTTGGCTCACACTCATCTTTGAAGCTGCACGATTTAGTCAAAAACACCATCTGCCTGCAGGGCTGGTGTGTGAAAATCCTTACAGTGTGTGCAGACGCACCTGAGTGTGAAATCTTACTAACAGAAGGAGGAGCTTATACAACCCACGCCGTACCTGGATTTGACCCGAGTGGTTAACGGCTTAGGATGAATTAAAGTGGCACATGTAAACAAACTGCTGCACCTGAGCGTCTTGAAACAGTACGTGCTGAGAAAGAAGTGATGCTGTTTAGTCCGGTGTCTAAGTGGCGAGTGTGGGATAGACGGTGAGCTTGGAACAAGACCGGCAGCACCGGCCTGCGTGCATCGGTGAGGCGTCTGGCCTCGCAACCAGGGAGTGCAATCCCTCTACTCGAGCCCTCCATGTTTATGTGTGTTTAAAATAAGTGGGTTCTGCGAGTCAGCGCTTTTATGTTGATTAAAACTGCAGAGCACAGAAAGACTCCAAGTGCCTTTTTGCACACTTGGGATGCAACTGCTGCTTTGGGCTGAAACAGAGACAACAGAGCTCTCTGCTATGTTCAGCGGAGCCAGATTTATGTTTCTGCATCAGGCCACTGTGGTTAGTAAGTGTACACGCTGCACTGCTTTGGACATGCAGTTGGAAGCAACCCAAACCCCTCCGGGAATATAATTATACATCAGCGGTGACAAAGACACCACACAGACTCCATAACTGAAGAAGATCTGCTTATGCAGTTTGTTTCTGCATGTTTCTAAAGCAGGATAAAGACTGAAAGCATTTTGTAGGTTAGCATGAGTCTCCTAACACAGATATAACATGTCTTTAGCACAGACCTGTTAGGAAGTCTGTTACATCCTACGCCTAATTGACGCATGGCTCAGCAACATCTCCTCTTAAATAATCTGAAAACCAGCTGGTCAGCAGAACCAGCTCCAAACCTCATGATTGCTCCTTGGCAAAAACAAGATTGAAAGCATACTGAATGACAGGATCTTCTCATTTATAACAATAACAGTGTTAAACCTACTCTGAACGATCACTCAGCAGGAGTCACCTAGAGCGCTGCGCCGGCTGACCTCGCTGCTGAAGCACAAATCTGTCCGAGGACGGGGTTTGGGAGTAATTACACGAGATTAGACTAATTGGAAACAGATGCCATCATCAAAGTAACTAATAACACTCACAGCGAGTACTGCTGAGTAATCTGATGGCTTTAAAAGTCCTCGAGGTGCATCGAGTGCTTCATTTCAAAAACCAAACATCCAACCAGCAGATCCTTATTTTTCTACTTGGACAAATGTTGCTCATATGCACGCCTATAACCAGGCGCATGCTTTTACGCAACTGCTGACTCTAGTATGACTTTTCATTAGCACAAAGCTCAATGAATAAATGTGCTCAATGGCATTATTGATTTGGACTTTTTCTGATCCATCAGCCACATCTCCAGTAATTCCTGCTCTTCTTACATTTAACAGGTGTGTATGAGGCTGACGTGTGAGGGACACCTACATGTCAACGTTCTCTTTTTGAGTCTTGATCTTGGCCCTCTCATCCTCCTCCTCTTGGAGCTTCTTGGCCACCTGCAGGTCGTTCTGCACCAGACGGCTCTTATAGACATTGGAGGCCAAGTGGCTCTCAACTGTTGACACACACACACACACACAGAGACACACACACACAGGCTTGACTATCAGTGAGATAACATAAATGTTGAACAGCAGAGGTTATTTGCACGTCTACACGTCAGCGTCTGAGGAGCACCAACTACTCTTTAGCTGATCGGCTGAGGACAAGAGAAACGCCGCGGCCGTTTCAGCCTCTGCTATTCAACAGACTGCGCTCTCAGTCACTGAGGAATGAATGTTGGTGGCTGAGGCGTCGTTCCAAGGTTGTGTGACGGCATGCCTTTGACCATAACAGATGAGAAATCCTGCTTGCTGACGCACTTCTAGCACTTTGTAAGCAGCGCATCACTCACTCGCTCAGTTCTGTTCACTTTGTTATTGATCCGGGACAAAATTACATTTGGCAATTTGTACGTGAGGAGCTCCATAAGGTCTGTGTTTGTGATCGGTGGGATGGAAACAGGAAACCATGTCACAGCTGTGCCAACATGATAAAGAGTCGAGGGACTGACATCGATTTTTGGGGGGTTCTCTTGAATGACGCTGGGATTAATTTTTCACGTGCTGACAGCCCATGGAAAAAAAAAAAAGTCTGAAGGTATAACTGAAGTCACACCGTAAAATGAAGGACATTTATCCACTGCCATGTTTGCCGTGTCAACAGCAATCTGGATTCATCTTTCAAGGAAACAAAACGGACATTGTGAAATCTGTTCATAAAACACATCCTCTGAAGAGGCCTCGGGTCATTCAGGAAAAGAAACAACGCTGAGCTGTGAGAACAGACACGAGTGGAAATCTGCACGGTGAAAAGAAGCAAACACAGAAACGGAAGATGCCAAGTGCTGACACGGCCTTGCAGAAATGTTTCCATGTGACATTTGGACACTTTGCTGTTCTGCATGCTCAACATTTTGAATGGGAACAAAAGCCAGCTGTATCTGCACATGAACACAAACTCAATGTGCTTAAAATCTTCTTTTGGACGCCATCTGCTGATGTGATCCATGAAAAAAAAAAAAAGGGGGGGGGGGACTGCATATTTAGAGAACTACTGAAATATATTAAATGGCATCCTCCCTTTTGACTTCCAGGGTCAAAGGTGAAAGAACACTCTGCCAACACAAACCTGATCAGTTACTGTGACAACAAAGGAGCAAATGGAAATGAGCCTTGGTTGTAGATCCCTACAGCTTTAAAAGGGCACAATCATATTCATTACAGCTAATCTGCACTGAGAGTGAGGCTGGATGACATCTGCCTTCCTCTTATTTAGCAGAGCTCGTGGCATAATTTACCTTTATATGGTTTTACAATGGAGGAAACGGAAAGACAAACTAGTGTCCTCTACAGCAGCGCGTTCTCTCGGTTCACACTCTAAACTTAGTGCAAAGGTTCACCAGACTCGATAAAAATACAGCAGCAGCCCGTGTCTGATGCACAGAAAGAACCTGAAAAAGATGTTGATGTGAGATTTCAACAACTTATCTTGATGCGAGGGAACGGAGCCCTCTATAATGACTCTAATTACTTGCATATGTGCTCACATTAAAGTACCAGCTAGCGTAAAAGGAGACACAGATGCAGTGTGTTCAGCTCTACAATCAGAGCTTTCTGTGCTACAGCTGCTGCACACAAAAAAGCCACCTCACTGCTCTGATGCAGAGCTTTGTGGCGTCCCGCAACATGGCTCGACTAATTGTGTACCAGGGTTTATACGGGCTTAATCAGACTGCAGCCACTGACGCCGCGCTCTGCCCTGCAAAAAGCAAAGTGGAGCATCGTGGGCTGCATGCATGCTTTTACTGCTACAAATAAAACATAATTCAAAGCTTGATTTTTAGCAAAGTGATACCAAATGATTTAGGAAAGAAACAATCTGCAGTTACATAAAAAGCCCAATGCAGAAAACAGTGCAATAATAAATGGCACCAAGTGTTTAAACAGACTCTCCACATACAGACCTCTCTGTATAAACTTGGATTTCTGTCACATGAATAACGTAGCCACACTTTCGTCTGCCTGAACACAGTCAGGGAAAGCAAACGTCTGAAGGAGGGAGAAGGCAGCACTGTTTGTCAAACGCTTGTTTTACCCGTGACACTCCTCAGGAGTAGAAACTCATTTTATCAAGAGTCAAGCTGAATGTGAGAATGAATGAGAACCACTGCCTTAGGATGAAGAAAAACCCCAAACATGACTAATGTGTAGATGCTTACTTTCTTGTTCCTGGAGGTTATAGGCCAGGGAGTGGTCCTCCAGCACGGCAAAGTCTCGGCACACTAAAGAAAGGAAGAAAAACAGGCTTCATTTAAAAACGAGTGCTGGAAAGTGTAGCAAACGTTACAATCATTCAAACAGCCCCATGTATTCAAACACAGAGCTATGCTCCCAGTTAAACACAAGCTTGAGGAAGAAGAGACGTCAATTTGAATCGGACTTCTCACGGTTTCCCCGTTTAACATCTGGCACGTCTTCCCTCATGTGCTTAATCAATACAAATGAATTTAAAGTCATGACAGAAGGCAAAGTGTCAGGATTCCACCAACAGGGAATCAAATGTGTCACGATACTGAGAAACTACTTTGACTGAGAAACTACTCCTAAAACGGTTTTTTTGTTTTTAATCTGATAAGCTGAGCAGAGTGCTTCGCTGCACAATGAGCACATCATTCTTAGCTACACAAAGTGATTTTAGATCCTGTCTGACTTTCTGGAATTTGTTTTTGGATCTGAGATGAACTGAAAGTGAAAGAGGAAGCGCTCTGCACTCAGACTAAAAAAGCGCTCAGGGTTTTTTATCTTGACAAGTTATTTTAAGGTGAGAAGAAGTGAGAAAACGTTTTGTTGCTGCCCTAATGTGCAATTCAAAAGGCAACATTTAGTTGCTCATCTAGCAGAAAACACATCCCAAAGGCAGTAAAACGAAACGTGTTTGTGTATAGCCAAATAAGCTACAGTAAGTAAAGTAAGATTAACCTGAATTTTCTATCTAAGCCGAGTTTTTATGACGCAGGACTTTTTTCCTGTCATTTTCAGGCCTGGCCAAAGACTAAAAGTCCACCAGCCACAATCTCAGCTCTGTAGGAAGAGAATAAAAATGTTTTCTTAAAGAAAAAAAATATGAACTGCTCATTTTCCATATCTACATAACAAATCGAGAGCAAACTTTCCAGGCTTGGTTTCGGTATCACTGGTGCTGCCAAAAGATTCATCCTGAAAACAACAGCTTTGGCTGATGGAGTAGGTGGGGATTTTTTCCTCCGAAACCCCCCAGCACCAAACGTCATCCCGACACATCCACCTGATCCTTCTCAACGACACACACAGCTCGTGTCTCTTCACGTTTGCTCCAGATCTTTAACAGCAGACGGTTTCCTGTTAAGAAGAACTAAGGAGGCGGTTTTAGGCCTTTCTCACAACCTCAGCTAAACATGAATGTGGACTTAAAAGTTCTGTCAGCGTAGCTTAACTCCCCGTACTTAGCAACTTACCATAGCATCATATAAACAGAATATTCTGTCATGGCTTCATCAAACAAAAAGCCTTCAGCAGTGTGGAGCTGGCACCAGATCGCTTCAACAAAGCAAAAGCAATCTGGCATCATACATATTCACCAGTGTCGATCAGTTTGTGGAGCTCACACGGTCTCCTCACCCCTGCCAAGCTTACAGTCCAAAGATTACTTCATCCACATGAAATATTAATAACCAGTAACTGCCTGTGACTGTGTGACTGTAGAGATCGCTGGGAGGGAATCGACCACCATTAGGCAAACACACTTGATAAATCATCCAGACTGCCTCGTTGTGCACGATGGCTAATGGACAGATGCTTTGAAGGAGGATGACACCTCCACCGAGCATTTTCTCAACCATATGCTTAATCTTCTTAGCAAAGAGATTGTTTCGTGGCTGCTGCTGCTTTATACGTCAACAGTACTTTAACAGTTGCTTTTAAAGAGACTTCAGAAGAATTCAGCACAAGTGAAAGACGGGTTACAGCTGCACTCACGGTTTAGGTTTTCACACCATCATTCACTTCAGGATCTGAAATAGAAAATAGGTCTAACATGTGTGCACTATGCAAATAGATGGACACTTCTGCGTTTAATAAACCACAAGAACATCTAAATATAAGTAAATATTTCAAGTTCATTTCTGCACCTCGTTGTTTTTACTGTTTTCCAACTTTTCCAGCAGTTTTGTAGAGTCCATCCCTTCCCAATGCAGACTAGACAAGCAGTGCAGGATTCTTCTCTCTCTGACCAGAATAACAAACATCCTGCCCAGCAGCTGCTTCACACTAACAGGTGCTTCCCACCAGCAAAGCATCCCATCCATAATGCTTTTCCATATAAACACCCCCGTTTCCATTCTGCTTTTCAAATCCACAAACAATAGCAGACCTAGTTCTGGGTGTCTATGTGGCAAAGAGCTCGTGGGATTCATATTCTGAACAGTCATAACAAGCAGGAGGAAATGGCACCAGAGAATATGAGACCGGGGGCAAAACAACAAACAAAACTCAAACAGAGCTTGTGTTCAAAACTCTGGCTGGACCACATACCTTAAAACAGGAAAACAACTCAGGTGACAAAGTTACAAGTCATGTAAACACAGCACATTTCACCAGCCCAGCACTGTGTTTAATATGAGGAGGCTCTCACTGTGTCAACATGTACACAACACATAAAACGGTGTTTCCCACTGTAAACCTGCCTGGATGACACCTGCACCCAGACTGACCATCTAACTCCAGCCTGAAAAGACCAGTAAGTGTGCTAGCATCCACTAGCAGCGTGTGCTAAGAGCCACATTAGCCGTAGTGCATGAGACCAACAAATAAACACCTGCGTTTACTCGGTTAACATTAGCCTCGCTAGAGTTATCCTAACGTAACAGGCTGGCTGTTTAAGAGCTAGCTTGCTTTATATTTTTCCAGGAAACATGTTATGTGGACATTACCCTCTTTCACTCCAGGTAGTTTATTCTGGTCGATGCTAACGTTACATTCAGCCATGTTGTCACGGATAATAAGTAAAAACAAGAAAAAGAAAAGAAAAAAACCCGTTGACGGTGAATTACACTTCAGCGTTTTTTCCGAAGGTTAACGGCAGCCTGATTGATCGCCTTTACTCATAAACCCGATTGATGGTTCAGGTGCTGGACGACCCTTTGATTAGTTTCGGTAACCACCCTCTCCTGATACGTCGCCGCTGTAATTGCCAGGCTGTTACTCTGCTGTAGCTAGCTGCCTGTCAGATTGCTAGCGTCCCTCCCTCCCTCCTACACCCGGCCAACGGAGTAAGAGGATATTTCCTGTCTAGATTTTTCAGAATAAAATACCAGCTTTCGCAAGACTTGTGCAGGAAAAATAAATCAATTCAATTTAATTCAATTCAATTTTATTTATATAGTGCCAAATCACAACAACAGTCGCCTCAAGGCGACTCACACACACACTCGAATAAAAAGAAAAGAAAATCAAAGTGAAGATTGTTCAAGAGTTCCCTTATTTATTTATAAATATTAATTAAAAATATTTATATATTCGTGACACAATAAATAAAGAAATACAACTGAACCATGCTACTGACTACACCAGACCTACATGCTTACGAACTTAGCCCAGCAAGTATAACTTTAACCTTTGACTGTGCAAAAGCCAACATTTAGATTTAGCTTTATACTTTAGGTTTTTTGAAATGTACCTTTATCAGCCAGCTTCCCAAACATTTATTGAATATATTATTGAACTAAAAGAAACGTTTAACGAAGCTCTCCATTGAGGTAAAAAATTGTCTAAGAATACACTGATGTTTCGGAAAATGAGACTATTTGAATTTAAACCCTTACATTATAAATAGCTGAAATACATCACCAAAATAAGCTAGTAATAATTGTGGATTTTCTAAACTTGGCATGATTAGTACACGAAAGTGCTGCAGTTTTAAGTGTATATTTTCATAGTGATCATTACAAGTCAGCAGCATATGATACAACTGCTCCGTTTATAAATTCAGGGACATAAGAATGCACTGCTGGTATTAACGTCTGCTTTAAGCTGAAAAGTGAGTGAGCACACTTCCGGTTGGTTTCTAACTACTTGCGGCTGACTTACGAGAGGCTTTGAATTGACGCAGCCCTCTTCTCGAGGTTCAGCTGCTGTAGACGTGTGCTGCATGTGCAGCTTCGGAAAGTCTTCACCACGAAGCAACCGTGGGTCATCACTACGGTCCACGCGAGCAACGATTCATGTGTGGGAACCGTCAAGGCAGACTGAGTGAATGGATCCGCATTTACACGCGTCATGCCTTCTATAAAATACACGCTCACTGCAGCTGCTCTTTTGATTATGATAATCTAATTGCTCCCTCTGGTGTTCAGCTCTACCACAACCGCTTCCAATTGAGATAACATCCCTAAAATAAGTCGATGGTAGCGGTCCATTTGCAGATAAATCAATGGGATTGTTTGTGGTCGCGTGCACAGACGGCTTCCTTAAGTGATGCTTAAGCTAAGCAGTTTTACTGTTTAGTTTTTCAGTGAAATACAATGAGGTCAACAAAGGCCTGACCTCTGATGTTAAAGATGAAATAGAACAGAAGCTGGACTGGAGGCTGTGGGGCTCTGAGGAGTGCTTAAACTGCTTGGGTTATGCTGTTACAGAGTTACGAATGCATCGTAAGGTCTTTAAGTGCATCCAAATGATATTTAGTTGGTGTGAACAGTGACTGCCTCCTGCAGACTCAGTAGCCTAGTTTCAGTTCTTTATCGGTACATTTGGTTTTCATTTACAGACCCTGAAGATCCCCTCAGCACAGTCTTTCCTGATTCTTTAGTTTTCGTGTTTGTAGTCTCTTTATTTGTGTATTTAGAAGATGATTGGCTAAAGGAGCGAGCTTGTAGAAACCTCCTGTGTGCAAGTCTCATTTCAAAGGACTCTTATAATAACAGCCAAATTTAGCAGGTTCAAGCAGCTCATTTCCCTTAGCCTGCACAAACGCTGTGTGCGCTCCTCTGGCTGACGTATGAAATGTGATTTCCTTGATTCATAGAATAGGATACGTTAAAATGGGAGGTGTGAGATGTTGGCGTTGCCTCAGTGATGGATGCTTCTTCACCTCCAAAGCAGTCCTGAAGCCAAGATTGAAGAGCCCGTCTCTGGTTATGGTGCACTTAAGGACCGAATCAATTTACTTGCCACTCTTTCCCTAGGCCAACCCACTCCTGCGTACCTATTTTAGGAAGCAATTAAAGTAAAAGAAAAAGACTTGCGAGTGCCAAGAACATCTGATCCTGGTTCACAACCAACAGGTTGATTAATAGCATCCTCTCTTTTTGATTTACCCGTGTCAGAGTGATGTAGGGTTTCTGGGCCGCACGTCCGCGTCAGATCGCTGTATTTCATTCAGACGATTCACGGGCCCCGTGAGAAGGTGGCTCAGTGACGAAGTCCACAGTGACGAGAAGTGAATTTAGTAATCAAGGGGCCGACAGGCCCCTCCTCCCAGCTCGGAGAAGTATAAATATATTGACGGGATGGTTTTAAGCAAGTGGACATCTAGCCTTGCTCGAAGGAGTGCTCACAGTGCGAAATCCGCTTGAAACATTACATTGAATGCCATGGACAGGGTTACAGCTGTGAGCTACTGTTTAGGACTCCTGAGTTTGTTTCTACTGCTCAATGTAGACGGGAGGAGCATATTTAATCCAGGTGAGTGTGCAAAACAGCACATTTTATTTGAATTAGAATGCCAAATGCATGCAACTGCTGATTAAATGCTTTGTCTATCAGTACAGTTTTATCAAATTTCAACATATTGAGAGATAATAAGCATATAACTCACTGTGTGTTTGCTTTGGTACATCCAGGAAACCCTGCTTTCAGTCAGAAAGAAGACACAGATTCCCAGAGCAAGATTCTGGCACTATTACTGCACAAAAGCTTGGTCCCAGTGGAAAAGGATGATCCTCTGGGTGAGACCTACAAACAAATGCCTGTGATAACATGCACAGGTACATTTCTGCTTTGGTTAACTGGGTCTCCTTTCTGCAGGTGTTGAGCTGGCTAATAAATTAGCTGAGATCGAGGAGGTAAGGCTTATTTTAACTGGCACTAATAAAATGTGATTTCGATGTTATTATAATGTGAACAAGCTGCTCGTGTATAAATGGCGCACTCATTTTTTGTTTCACATTCTCAAAAGTTGTTACAGTAATTCACAAAAACATTGGAAAACCTCTCTCGATGTGTTATAATCACTTTGATCTGTATTTCTAGCTGAGAGTGCTGAGGGAGGACCTGGAGCTGGAGAGGAAGATTACAGCTAATATGGTAGAAGGCAAATCCATAACAAGGAAACGCGGAGAACGTAAGCTCTAAAATTTACAATCATTACACTATAAATATACTTAATATGAGCTCATTGTACAAAATGCTGTCTTTTTGCCTGTAGCCTGCTTCTGGAAGTACTGCGTTTGAGACGGATGCGAGAGGAGGATAACCACTGTGAAATCTTGCTGCAAAGCCCAACATAGCCTTAAAACTCAGACTAGCAGTAGTATAATCACACTGTATTTATCCCAGCAATATAGAGATGTAACATAGTTGTTTCATTAATAAAGGTTTCGTTTCACCGTGGCTTTACATCTAGAATCTGTAAATAATCAGCCGCTCTCTGGAAATACTTGAGGGTCACATATGACGAAACATTACACATTACGTTACCTGAGAGTTTTCTTTGCATGACACGTGTGTTTCTGTCGCCCTCCTGCGGTAGAATTGGGAATTACATGCTTGTTTGTTTTTCACACAAGTTCTATCGCCTCATCACTGCTCATAGAGATGCACCGCTGTTAATTTTACTGTGTAAATAAAATCATAATGTGAATCTGTACTTCTTGTTTTCTTTTTTCCTTTAAAAGTTTCAATGTTTAGAATTGATTTTAGGATTAATTTAGCATCAAAGGGGGAAATAGAAAAAGGCGTTGTTAACACTACTGAAGACTAAATCATTTCTAATTATATATTTATTCTACTGATGTGATGCACATTTGTCAGCTAGTTTAAACTGTGCGAACAGGAAGTGGATGGTGGGCAGTGGCGGGCTTTATGTTGCACATTTGACTGGATTGTTCGGAGGCGAGTCACAAGCAAAGTCCAAACAGCGCTGCAGTGAAAAGGCATTAATCATATGGCACACGATGAACTGAGTTTCAGTTCATCATGGGGGGTCAGATATGACTGAAAGACTAATAGGCTGTGTTTTGAGTTTTGTTTAAAAAAAAAGAATGACTTCATATAGGGAAAAATATATATCACATGTGCAGGACACCTTAAACTAGTTTTTTAATTAAGCAGCAAGGCAGAACAAAGTCGGGGCTGCATCAAGACACAGGACTAAACCCCAATTCAACCAGACCCAGAACTGATCCGGAATTAAAACAGGACTACAACAGTTCAAAATCAGGACTACTGAGGATTTAACCAAAGACAGAACCAGAATCAGAACTAGATGATAGTAGCACTAAAATCATCATAGACCTGCACTACACTTTTTTTTAATTCTGCCAAAGTCCACTATTTAGATTCAGAAAAGTTTATATAATTATTTAGCCTTGTTGTGCAAACAAGCCTGCATAACTTAATAAATATAGAATTTGAAAAATAACAAACCTAAAAAGAAACACTAGGTACGAGATACATGAGTACCTATGATACGGTGATACTTTTGGTAAACAACCATTTGACTAACATGTGTGTCTCACCTGCTCTTGTTCATCTCTGTTCTGTCCTCATTCTCTCTCTCCCTCTCTGTTCCTCTCTCTCCCTCTTTCTCTCTCCTCTCTGTTATCTCTCTCTCTCTCTCTCTTTTCCTCTCTCTCTCTCTCTTGTC